GTGTGTACATGTGTGTGTAGTTGCATGTTGCTGTGTGTGAGCCGAGAGTCCAGGGGGCTAATTCCTGGCTCAGAGAATCCTCTGTTCCTTCTTGGGGCATGAGCCCGCCTGGGCTGGTCAGGGCTGAATGATTGAGTCTAAAGATCCCAAAATAGCTTTGGTTGCCTGAGTTCCCCTCCCCCATCTGGGTCTGGGGCCTCAATGGCCCTTTGTCTCTGTAGGCTGCCAGCTCCTGTGGGGGGCTCCGGCTGGGGCTGGGGCTGGGGCTGGGGCTGGGGCTGGGGCTGGGGCTGGGAGGGACCAGGCTGCCTGGCGTTTCCCTTTCCCCTAGGCCAGGCCTGTAGGCCCTAAGCCCCACCCCAGTGTTGGCTGGTTGGCCATCCCATTTTAGGCAGATCCCAGGGTCTCTGCCTGGGGGAGGCCTCCCCTTAAGCTCCACCCTGGGCTCCCACTGACCCCCCAGGCTTACCCTTCCCACACCCTGGTTCCTCCCTTCCCTCCGCAGCGCCCCCCATGGTTTTGCTAGTTGTAGTGGCAGCAGATACAGGGCCTCTGCGCATGTTCCCCTTGAGCTCTGGGCACCTCCTACGGTTTGACCTCTGGTGCTGTCCGAGGGGCCATCTCTGAGCCAAGGGATGCGGATCCAGTCCTGGGGGGCTGCAGTGAGAAGTAAATGGGAAAATGTGTGGCCGTCTGGGCTCTGGGCCAAGCCCTGCCCTGGGTGCTCCCAGTCAAAGCCGTGCCAGAGGAGGCACTATCAGTGTGGTGTGGGCAGTGCCAAGGTCCAGCGAGGTGAATGGGTGTGGGAGGCCCCCAGAAGAGAGTGAGGCAGCTAAGGGACAGGATATCCACATGCTTGATGGATTGTCACTTCGGGTCCATTGCGGCCTGGGGTGGGGGAACCACTCTGTTATTGGCTTTTCCTGCAAAGTTTTATCGGAACCTCAGATTCCAGGACTCCAAGAAGTTTAAAGAACTCTGCTGGGGGTGATGGGGACCCTGGCTGGGGCTGACACTGTGTGGGATGTGGCACTAGTGTGCCTGCTGAGGGACAGAAAGGAGTCAAGAGAGATGGACCTGGTTAACTGGGCGCTGGCTGACAGGTGGCTACCCGCTGAGAAAGGTTGGGGGTGGGGGTGGAGGAGCCTGCCTGACAGGAGGGAGTGACCAGGGTGGGACTCTAGTGCCTGTTTTTGAGGCAGCTGGACATCTAGTAGGTTGGAATGATCTGGGGGGGGGGTCCAGTTGGAGGCACAGAGATGACTGTCCTGCCCTGCGGTAGTGCCATTGCACAGGGCAGAGAGTGGGCTGACACCAGGAAGGGCCTGTTCCAGGGCCAGGGCAGAGGAGCCTCCAGATCTGGGGAGAAGGGACCCCAGGGAGCTGGGTGTGGTTAGACTGAAATGAGACCTAAGAGTGACCAGGTTGGCACTGCTGGCCATGGCAACAGCAGTTTGGCTGAAAGGAGACTTTCAGACAGCAAACACAAATACCCCTCCAAGGCCTAGTGCAGCATCTGTGAGTGTGAGTGTGAGTGTGAATATGGGTGTGAGGTTGGCTGTGACTAAGTGTGTGGGGGTAAACGGGGATGCAGTTAACATCTTTTCAGCTTTGGTGGGGAGTTGGTCAGTGGCCGCTGGAAGGAACTGACTGGGAGGGATACTGGGATGGGACGGGGTATGGCCTTACCCCAAGAAGAAGAGGGACCCTTCTGCTTGAGACTGTGCTTTGTCGATGTAGGAAACACCCAAACCTGTAGAGAATTTTTATGAATTTGAGCCAAACTGACAACAGTGCTGGGAAGCAAAATCTCAGGGGATTGAGAAAATGCTCTGGAGAGGGACAGTTTTACAGCTTATTTTATGCATTAGAATCAGAGGAGGAGATGTAAGGGGAGGTTACATGAAATCCACTCCAGGTAGAGGAAGGGGGCGGTAGAAAGCAGATCAGGGAAATCTCTGGGATTGGATAAGCGTAAAACGGAAAGACATACTTTTACACTGGTGGGTACAGGGTAGTTAATTAACATTTATGACACTTGGAGATGGCATTTGGGGAACAAGAGGACAATGAGGGGTTCTGTGGTCTTGCTCTGGGTGTTTCCTGAGGGGTCTGGAAAGGGTGTTACTCTGGCATTTCAGACGTAGGTGATCATAGATACAGGCTCAGTTACGTGACCTTCCCTCACCTTTGTAAAGATTGGTCTTCATCACCTTTGTCACAAGCTACAGGACTAGGAGGTGACACCTGCCATGACCCGGCGTGTTGGGGGTTTTGCGCTCTGACCCCCCGTGTGGCCTTTCCGTGGCCGAGTGTGTCAGGCCCCATGCAGGCCTCCTGAGCCTGCCAGGGTCGGTACGTGGCCCTTGTTTTCCGCCGGCAGCTTCCTCTCCCTCCCCCGAAAGGGCTGGCAGACTGGGCGGGGGCGGGCGGTGGAGGCGCGCAGGGTCCTGCCAGGTCCAGGATGGAAGGGGCCAGCATCCATGGGTGTGCCCGTGGGCACGTAGGGGCCCCCCAAAGGACTGCCGAAGGTGGAGCGTGGGGGTGCAAGGGGTGAACTGTGGGCCATGGAGATGGTCACCTGTGGGGTCCTCCGTGGCGGCGCGATGTGAGTGGTGTGGATGGTGGGACGCAGCCCCCGCCCCGAGCGGGCCTGGAGCCGAGGACCCGACGTCGGGGCACCGGCTGGGACCGGGCTGGGCACGGCGTCCTTCGGGGGGTGGAGACTTCGCTGTGACGTCACGGCCCCAGCCTCCCGGGGCGGCCTCTGGGGGGCGCTCCATGCTCGCGGGATCCCGCCCGGGGTCCCGAGACTGTTTGCAGGTCCCTCCCGCTGGAAGAGGGGGCGGTGCGCGGGTGGTTGGGGCGTTGCTGTCCGCTCCTGGGGAGAAGGGGGCCCATCAGTGCCACCTGCATCCCGGGTACTGGACTCAGCCCCCTCTCCACCTGAGGACCCGCACCCCCCACCGGCGGGGGCCCGCTGGGCAGGGACGCGCAGGAAGGGTCCC